AGGAAGGAAAGAGAAGAGAAGGGGAGAGGCAGGGATAAAGCGGAAGGAAGGAAGGAAGGAAGGAAGGAAGGAAAGAGAAGAAAAGGGGAGAGGCAGGGATAAAGCGGAAGGAAGGAAGGAAGGAAGGAAGGAAGGAAGGAAGGAAGGAAAGAGAAGAAAAGGGGAGAGGCAGGGATAAAGCGGAAGGAAGGAAGGAAGGAAGGAAGGAAGGAAGGAAGGAAGGAAAGAGAAGAGAAGAAAGGGGAGAGGCAGGGATAAAGCGGACGGAAGGAAGGAAGGAAGGAAGGAAGGAAAGAGAAGAGAAGAAAGGAGAGAGGCAGGGATAAAGCGGAAGGAAGGAAGGAAGGAAGGAAGGCCAACGCCAGGGAGGTCTCTTGAGGGTCCTTTGGGGGACAGACCCACCCACCCTCCGCCAGTTTCACCTGTGAACATCAGGGCCGTGGTCCCTGCCAGCGCCATGGTGACCATCCCCAGGGCGTTAGAGAGCAGGCCCAGCTCGGCCACCCAGGCGTCCCGCAGGCACCTCTGCAGCAGCCTCAGCCCTGCCAGGCTGCTCAGGTAGGTCAGGTAGTGGGCGGCCGAGCCGTAGCCGATCAGCTCCGACCGCCAGCAGAGCGGAGGGCCGAGTTCGTACAGCACCAGGATCTCCCGGGCCCCAAAGTGCACCGTCACCACCACGAAGAAGGCCAGCGAGTAGAAGAGCAGCTGGCGCCAGGGCTGACCACGGGCGGGGCTGGCGTACAGCCGGTACACTGCCTTGTAATGGCGGAGCGTGAGAAGCCGCTGCGGCTGCCTCTGCGGCACCGACTCCCGCAGGACGAGGGCCGCGTAGAGGGCCGCGGCGAGGCTGGCCGCGAAGACCAGCCAGAAGGGCGCCACGTAGCCCTGGGCCTTGCGCCACTGACCGCCCAGCACGCTCGCCACCATGCCCGCCAGGCCCAGGCAGGCCTCCAGGATGGCCACCCGGAAAGTGCGGGCCGTCCGGTCACTGACGTCGGCCGCGTAGGCGAAGCAGCCGGCGAGGATCAGGTTGTAGTCTCCGGAGAGGCCGCTCAGCACCCGGCCCACCATCAGGTACCCCACAGGCAGCTCGGCGTACATGACCACCAGGTAGATGGCGGCCTGCAGGGCCATGCCCAGCGCCGGCAGGATCAGCACCGGCCGGCGCCCCACGCTGTCGCTCCAGGGGCCGAAGAGGGTGACTGAGAAGAGCCCCACAAAGAAGCCGGCCAGGTTGAGGTAGAGGTTCCAGTGGGCCACCAGAGTCTCCAGCTCCTGGAAAGACAGAAGAAGAGTCGGAAGGGGCCTTGGAGGTCTTCTAGCCTGACCCCCCTGAGAGAGCAGCGGGAAGGTGGCCCTAGCAAGACTCTGGGCTGCCCCAAAGACATCGGATCGGGTTGTCCTTCTGGATGGAAAGAGAAAGAGGGGCGCAGGAAGAGCCCCAAAGCTGCCACAGGCCCAGAGGGAGGTTGTAACTGAGAACACATTGGCTTAATTCAGTGTTTTTCAACCTTGGCAACTTGAAGATGTCCGGACTTCAACTCCCAGAATTCCCCAGGCAGCGAATGCTGGCTGGGGAATTCTGGGAGTTGAAGTCCGGACATCTTCAAGTTGCCAAGGTTGAGAAACATTGGCTTAATTCAGGCCTCTCCAGCCTTGGCCCCTTTAAGACGTGGGGACTTCAACTCCCAGAATTCCACAGTCAACTGGATCTGCTGGCTGAGGAATTCTGGGAGTTGAAGTCCCCACGTCTTAAAGGGGCCAAGGCTGGAGAGGCCTGAATTAAGCCAATGTTTCTCAACCTTGGCAACTTGAAGATGTCCGGACTTCAACTCCCAGAATTCCCCAGGCAGCGAATGCTGGCTGGGGAATTCTGGGAGTTGAAGTCCGGACATCTTCAAG